TTAAAGCTCATTGGTTCTTAGTCAAAGTGGCACAGACTTGGGGACATTCAAACTTTTATATGGTCTAGGCATAATGATGGTCTATCCAGACTCACCTTTCAGCTAACACACTTAGCATCGAGACACAGATGGATGGGAAAGATGACCCTGACCCACATAAGACCCACATTCCTGTGCAAGGATAGAAGCATGATAATCAGGAAATGATGGTTGTTAGTTACAGAAAATGCATTATTGTGAAAACCAGGGGGAAAGTGCTTATGAGAGGAAGTGATTGGATTATGGAGAATGAGAGAATAAGGATAGATCATTCCTACTGAGTAAATTGCTGTGATTTATAAGAGAGAGGGTATAGTGATATCTTGGCCCATTACTGACTAGATTCATTTCACAAACAATCCTAAATCAGAGTGTGACATTTTATGGGGAGACAAACAAAGTCTCTTAAAGATGCTTGTAAGTTACTATGCTTTTAAACTGGAATGTTTTCAGCTCCCCATTCCTTTACCATCATTAGCTTTCTTTACTTTGGCAGTTGGAATTCATAATTGTAATTTTGTATTTCCCTTTTATGAGACTCTAGTAATAGATTACTATATACTGTGCTAAAAAAGAAATACAATTCTGGGCATATTTTGCATGGGAATTTTGATAAATTCCATAAGAAAGTTACCTAAAAGGGTTGAAATATTTCTGTACTTGTAAGTACATCATATTATTTGTATAATACTAAAATAATTAGGTGGTAATTTATAATAAATGAGGACTTTAAAAAAATATTTCTCTTAAATTACCTCTCAATTAATAAGATAACTCTTTTCATCACTTCCAATAGATAATATATATATATATATTGTATTATATACATACAATATATTTACATATATTCTCTTATGTGTATTTACTTTTAGTTTTTAGTTTTCTGTAGGAGTTCCAATACTTCAAAAACACAGGTTAATAGAATACAGGGAACAGTTGTGTAACAAAACAGGAAATTTCATTAAAAGTTTACTGAAAATACAAATGTGGCTTAGAATGATTAAAAGTTCAAGAAATGACATTTAGGTTCAACTCAGTGATGAGCTAAATACCTTGGTTTTCTGAAATGACTGATTCATGCATGGAACGTAAAATATTTATTAGTATGGGTGGTTAGATGTGTCAGGAATGATCTTTGAATGTCACTTTTTTCTCAGCTCTGCTTGGGGTGGCAGACACTCCCTGATGAGGGCTTTGATTGCTGGTATCAAAGGAATGATTGCAGGGTTGACATTTTACTGTGAAAGACAAGAAATTGAAACAAGATTTTCTGAGCTGGGTACAGACATATTTGCAAGTCAGTGTTTGTCTTGGGAAATGGCTTTGGATCTTTTCTCAGTTAAGACTCAAAAAGAGCCACACTCTGGAGCAAAGAAGATGTGAAAAAATTCCCCTGACAATATTTCCAAACATAAACTACCATCAATATCATTAGAAAAATGTCATCAACTTTCTTGGTCAAAAAAAAAAATTCTCAGCAAGTTATTCATGATCCCTGGGCAACAACACTGAGATGATACTCTGATTGCCTGCTACAATGAGTTGGTTTAAAGTGTAAGCCCCAGTAGTGCTTTGTGTATTATATAGAGTTATATGAATCAACTTGATTCTGGAGATAATTGTCCCTCCTTTGGTCCAATTAATGTTAGCCCATCTTTCTTGTATGGGGTAAGATATCAAAAACCACAACCTATCATGGCCTCTTCTAGTTCATGATGATGATCTATGGCATTGTCTTTTGCTCCATAATAGTTATTCCTTTTTAGAAAAATATTTTAATTTTTTAATTTGTTCTAATTAGATATACATGGCAACAGAATGCATTTTATTTCATTGTACACAAATGGAACATCGCTTTTCATTCTCTGGTTATACACAAAGTAGAGTCGTACCATTTCTGCAATCATACCTATACCTAGGGTAATGATGGCCTTCTCATTCTACCATCTTTCCTACCCCCCAAGCCCCTACCTCTCTCCTCCCTCCAATATTTATTCTTTGGTTTTGGTGGGGTACTGGGGATTGAACTCAGGGGCACTCGACCACTGAGCTACATCCCCAGCCCTATTTTGTATTTTATTTAGAGACAGGGTCTCACTGAGTTGCTTAAAGCCTCACTTTTGCTGAGGCTGACTTTAAACTCACAATCCTCCTTCCTCAGTCTCTTAAGCCGCTGGCATTACAGGTGTGTGCCACTGCACCCAGCATAAATATTTATTCTTACAAAAGCTTTAGCAGTAACCTTAAAGGCTCTGTACAATCTGTCCCTAATTTCCTGTCTCTCTCATTTATTACTATAGTTACATTTGTGTACTAGTCACTAAAATATGTCAATACTATTGTTAAAATATATTTTATAGCATTATCTTCCTGGAAAATATATTGTAAATATTAGTCATTTCACTTATGAAGGTGGTGGTCACACTATTAACCTCTATCTTAGCCTAATTTGTGTTGCCACAACAAAATATCAGAGAATGAGTAATTAACAAGGAATAAAAATCTATTTTCTCATAGCTCTGGAGGCTGGAAGGTCCAAGATCAAGGTGCCAACAGGTCTGATTGTCTGGTGAGGATTCCTCACATGATGGGAAGCTGAAGGGCAAGCTACCTACATGTTTTGTGAAGTCTATTTTTATAATGGCCTTAGTCCATTCATGAGGGGAGAAGCCTACATGACCTCATCCCCTCTTAAAACCCCACCTCTCAATACCATCACATAGGCCATTAGGTTCCAACACCCAAATTTTGGAGGGGACACTTCAGAACATAGCAACATCTTAAATATCTATGAAGTAAAACCTGACTCTCTACAAAACATGTGGTTCACTTGAAACCAGATGTACCTGCCATATTTAGACTACCAATTTTTTTTAAAATTATCTGAAATTTTTATAAAAAGAACCGTTTTCCATCCCAGTCCTATCTTTCTAGTTCTAGACTCACCTTTCCATTTGCCGGGTAAGGATCTAAGTCTTTTTGAGTTTCTCAGATTCAGTAAGTGCAAATTCAAATTTATCATCTTCCATATCTCCCAAAAGCAATATACGTTCCTAAATGTGCTGTTGTAAACTATATCATGACATTATTCCAGCATTAATCCATGACTTAACTTTTACTACTTCCTCTGTCTTACTTTGTACCCACATCTGGTCTGCCCCTGGGTTCTTCTATTGTTAAATTGTCTAAGTGGCAATAGGTTTCATCTCTTCTTATCTACATCTACTGTCACTTTTCTACTTTACAATCTCTTATCTCATTTGGCTTTTTGGAAATAGCCCACCTAGAGACAAGGTGCTGAAACAGTGTGCATTTTCTTTTTTCTCACAGCTGCTGTTTTCTTCCTAAGTCATTAGAAAAATACTTCCTTTCTGAAGAACGTTAGTGCCATCCTGTTATGAAGAATGAACTCCAAACCCTGCTCTCTCTGTGACATCTCTAGTCCCTGAATTTAGGAATTCCATTTTTTTTTTTTGTACTATGGATTTCTTTGGAAGTCTAGTAAAGGTTTGGACTCCTTCCCAGAGTATTTTTGAATGTGGAAAATAATAAATGGAAGCTGACCAAGAAGAGCAGTTCTATAGTAACACAATTCTGTCTGCACACACTGCTGTTTGTGTCTTTGTGGCTTTGTTATGATCCCCTGGTATAGGAGTGTCCCTAAGCCTGCCCTTCTGATTATGGAAATCTATCTCATCTTCCAAAGCCTACAATTCCCATCTTCTCTGTGCAATTTTACCTTGCCTCCCCGCTTTGTCTATAGTCAAGGACTTTCCCTTTTCCCTCTCGTAGAAAATTATTTGTATTTCCAGATAGTCCTTATCTTAACTAGGCCCTTTATTATATTTTTGGATAGTAATGTTCCCAACACTGAACTAGCAACTCTCACATATTTCGTCTTCACAATTCTCTTTTAAATGCTATGAAATATGCAGTTGATGGAGAGATGAGGTCTGGACATTTTATTCTTTTGTCAAGATTGTACAGCTTGTTGTTCTTCCTAGGTTATAAATTATTTGAGGGAAGGGATATTTTATCTTTCTTTTATATCTTATCAGATTCTATGTAATAGAGTTTGTTCAGTAAAGTTTTCTCATGTGAATTTAAAACTAGGAAGCAGGAAATTCTTGCCTCCCAATATTCAACAGCATTAGAATTGACTAGGGTCCCTGGGAGGACAGAGATGGGCACAACACTGTTCTAAGGTTAATGTCCTTGTCAGATTAACTGTGACTAAGTCTTTTTCAATGTACTCTTAACCCTTCTGATTTCTAATGGTTTTGCAATTTGAAATTTACACATAAGGGTATTCAACAGTATTAATTCTTAAGATACTATCCCTTGTTTTTGACTAAAAAAAACCCAACAAATTAAAAATTATGACAAATTAAAGAATTAGTTTAAATCATGGTGAATTCAAGATCTATTCAAAGTTTACTATTTTTAATAGTAGATCAGAACAATGGAATAACCTATTTCCTATTCTATCCCTTCAGTGAAAACAGTTAAGCAAACCCAATTTACTCTTGTACACTTGTGAGACAATATATTTTAAACATAATTCCCTTACATTTGTTTCTATTTTCAACTGTGTTCCTTTGCCTCTTTTTGGTGTCAAATATTTTTCTCAAAGGGTTTTCTTAAAATGGCATTGCTAGATTACCTATTTCTAAAATAAACATTTCAAAATGTTTATTTTAGAAATGGTATAGTTTCTTTCAAAAATATGATTTTAAGTTTAAATCACATATTTTTTATTTTAATTAACCAATTTCTGAATGGAAGTTTTAAGTATAAATAATTAGTTCATTTAATTTGCTTATACCTTTAGCATGCTGTGAACTGTAAATTAATGTAAAATGAATTCATTATGAGTATCCATTTTTCATGATCTTTTCTATTGTTGTACTGTAGCAAGTGCTAACTAATGTGGCAGAATAATTGATTTTCTATTGTCATAGCTCCAGATGGTCCTCCTGAAAATGTGCATGTTGTAGCGACATCACCTTTCAGCATCAACATCAGTTGGAGTGAACCTGCTGTCATCACTGGACCAACATTCTACCTGATTGACGTCAAATCAGTAATACATGTCTTACCTTCTTTCTTAAAAGGCAGTATGGATCATGATTAAGGATGCAAGTTTTGGAAACAGACTACTTGGTTTGGAGTCCCAGATCTGTTAGACCTTAGGCAGTTTACTTAATCTCTCTGTGTTTCAGTGTTTGTATATGTAAAATAAAAAATAATAGTAGTCTGTAGAGAGTCCATGAGGACTAAATCATTTAATAATGCATAAAAATCTTAGAGCATTTCCTGACACAAAGTAAGTGCTCACTAAGTATCAGGTTTTAGTAAAACAATTATTATTATATTAATTCTCAGGGGATAGATGATATATAAAAACCAGGGGTTTAATTGATAATAATGCATTGGTTTGGGCTGTGTCTGTGACTCAATGGTAGAGCACTTGCATGACACATGTGAGGCACTGGGTTTGATCCTCAGCATCACATAAAAATAAATGAATAAATGAAGGTATTGTGTCCATCTGTAACAAATAATGCATTGGCTTAAAATACAGTAGAAATAGGCTCATAAAAGAGAATGAGAAAAGAAAAGGCATTAGGGGAAACATCTTCCAGATAACATAAAATCAGAACTAAATCTTGAAAAATAATTAAGGCAGTTCCTGAAAAGCAAAAGAAAACAGAATAATTCTCATTTAAGAAAAAGTGAGCGGTGCTGCTATCTCAGGTCACAGCATTCAGAAAGAAGAGTTTAAGAAGCTAGATTGGGAGAATAACTACATAACATATTACAGAGTTTGGGGTTTATTTTAAGAGTAGTGGGGTGAGCTGGGCTTGGTGGCTCATGTCTGTAATCCCAGGAGCTCTGGAAGCTGAGGCAGGAGGATCACGAGTTCAAAGCCAGCCTCAGCAAAGCAAGGCTCTAAGAAACTCAGTGATCCCCTGTCTCTAAATAAAATACAAAATAGGGCTGGGGATGTGGCTCAGTGGGGATGTGGCCCCTGAGTTCAATCCCTGGTACACCCTCACCCCGTAAAAAAGAGTGGTGGGGTGGCAGTTTGTGGGGAATTAAAGCAGTGATGTTGATTTCTGTTGTATAGGATGAGTAGGTTTGTAGTAGATGGTTTGAGACCAGTGTTAGGGTGCAAATTTAGACAAAGAGACAGAAGTCAAGAAAACATAGGAACAAAGAAATGTAGCAAGGGAAAAGAATGAAAAATAATTTAAATTTATAAAATTTGGTGAAAAAAAATCAGCCATCTAATTGAGTGAGAGGACAAATCAGGAATGATTTTAGGATATTTGACTTGCAAAATTATAAGAAGGAATAGATTCATAAAGGAAAAAAATGAGTTCAGTAGGAGACACTCTGAAATTGAGGTGTCTCAGAGTCTTCCAGTCAACATACCCATTACAAAGTATTGCATATGGCTGTGGAACACAGGAGGGAAATTCTGGATTAGCAGATTTTGGAAGTGTTGATATTTAGAAGATGATTAATTTTATAGGAGTAGATGATATTTACTATGGAACATGTCAACTATGATGAGTACCTGAGGATAGCGTTCTGAAGAGTAGAACTATTTCCTTCCTTAATTCAACATCATTTATAAATGCAACTAATGTCAGCACCATGCCAGGTGCTGGCTATGTAGAAGTGAACAAATATGATATGGTCACTGTCATTTCAGAGTTTATCTGAAGCTCATTTAAGAAAGATGTAACCATCAACATTTTAAAATCTTTGACTCTCAGACCAAGGAAAAACACTTAACAGTGCATTTAGGATTTATGCTTTAGCCTGGCTTCTGAAAAATGTGAGTCACAAGAGCATAAAAACCTTCCTTTCAAAGACTTTCAAACAAAATTTGTTTTCAAATTGACACTAAAGACATTTGGGCATAGATATCATGCTGGATGATTCTACTAAAAATGAATGCATCTTGAGGTCTTTTATTCATTGTTCCCTTTACTCTTTCATTTAACAAATAGTTATTGAATAGCTTTTATTCACTAGAACAAGAATGAAAAAGTAAAGTTCTGCTTTCAAGGAGCTCATACTCAAAAGGGAGATGTAGGAATTTAAATGGCTAATTATAGAGTCTGAGATATGAAGGTTTGGGGGAAGACAAGTTAGCAAACTAAAGTTTCTGTTATGGAGGAAAACAGGTATAGAGACTTCAAAGAGCACGTTAAATTTACTCTGAGATTTGATGGCTGAATAAGATGGGAAAGGGTGGAGGTGAGGTAGGACAAGAAGAAAAAAAATAAGAGCTTGGCAGGAAAGAAGATCCAGGGTCTAATTACTGACATTGTATTGTTATAGCTCAAAATTATAAGAGTGATTTCATATTAATAATAGATGATCAACTGTGGAATGAGCAAACAAGCTTGGAATTGATAGAAGGAAAATGAGGGGTAAAATGATTTGAGGTGTCCGTCCTGGGTAAGTGGGAGAGTAATTGTTAACAACCAAGGTGAAGTAGGTTTAATGAAAATATAATGAACTTTTGTACATGTTGAGTTTGAGGACCAGAATTCTTTTCAGATTTTATTAAATATTTTAAAGGTAGGATACAGCACAATGCATGTTGTGCCATGTTTTCGCTATTTGATATTTGTTATCTATTGTTTCAATGAAGAGCATTGGAATCATTTAATTTATAAATAGTGTAATTTATAAGATCAAGCCCACCGACTTGTCACAGTGAAGAGAGTTCTGGACTTTTAAAAAACCAATCTCATCTCTGCTACTGGGGAGCTATGGAATCTTGAGGAAATCATCTCAGGTCTACAAATGCAGAATTTAAATAGTTGTAGTAGTTAGGCAAGCAACATCAAACCATGAAAATGAAACCAAATGAAATGGAAATGGAAACCCAGGCCCCATTACAGGGGTCAACTGTTACTTACTTATCTCTAGGTTATTTATCTACTATTTATTTATTTATTTACTTTTGGTACCAGGGATTGAATCCAGAGGCACATCCCAGACTGTTTTTTGTTGTTGTTGTTTGTTTGTTTATTTACAGACAGGGTCTCACTCAGTTGCTTAGGGCCTCAGTTAACTTGCTAAGGCTGGCTTTGAGCTTGTGATCTTCTGCCTCAGCCTCCGGAGCTACTGGAATTACAAGCGTGTGCCACCACACCCAACAAGATAACTTGTACCCATTATGAATATAAACCTAGACTTAAAAAAGGCCATATTTTATGTGATGTTTAAATAACGGCAATTAATTAAATACACACTTTTTACCAGTGGGTTCATATGTCTGATCAATAGACTTCCTATTCTGATTAGTTTTTTCTGCCTCTTTAGAGAAGTGGGACATTGGTCTCCACTGCTTTGTCTTGAGCTGGGAATGGTCTTTTCAACTGTTTGCAATACTGGTATTACTCATTAGCCTTTAGCTCGGCTTTCGTGGTAACATCTTCAAGTTAAAAAAGGTCTTAAAAAAGACTAATTACAGAAACATACTGAACAACAACAAAAGCTTTAAAATTACAAGTGAGGAACAAGTCAAAAATGAACTTAATAGTGCTAGTCATATATTAAACCAGATTTTAAGTATTTATTTCAAGTACTTTAGAGTAGTAAATCAACAAGGGTTTTGAATTTTCTCATGGATCTTAGGAAAAGCACTTCTATGTAGTGTTAAAAATTTCGGCTATTTTTAATGTCTAGAGCCAATGGGCCAGAACTTCCATTGCAGGCAAACCACATTTGAACAAGTCATACGGCTACATTTAATAGACCTACAGGTATTCATTTATGCGCATTAAATAATTATGCCATTTGCAATTGAGTCTTTATCCACTGTCATGCATTGTGCTAGATCAAGAGTTTTTCAAACTATGGTCATTATCAGAATGCAATAAATGGAGTTAAATAAAAGGGGTGGAAAATATCAAAGTCCATTTCAGAAATAAGTTACATTCCAAAAATTGTGTTTCAGGTCATAGAGCGTGAACATGTGCGTATACACACACACACACACACACACACGCATATTTTATATATGTATACCTCTGTATTTTCTTTTTGTGGGTAATGTAATTTTTTAAGATCAAAATCTCTGTACCAATTACTTCAGATCTCTTCTTTCTAAATCTCAATATAATTCTGTAATTATTTTACCACCCCAATTTCACATACATAGAAGGTAAGATACATAGAGCCTTAGTGGTTTGTCAAGTGGCCAATTAGCATTTGAACCCTTGATAACACAGTCCAAAACCTATATACTTTTTTTTTTTTAACAAAGCATTAGAGTAGAAAGTAATTTAATTGACTGAAAAAAATGATTTTTTTTGCTTGTGCATTTGGTTGATTATTTTCTTTTCCTTTCAATTACTAAAATATTTACTAATTAATGAACTGTTATAATAACACTTTAGATTTTTCCAGGGCTATCTGATTGTTAAATAAGTAAATATGTAAATAAATAAGTTAATCTATAAATGTCAGATGAATGTACATGTAGCTTTGTATTATCATGTTCTGGTAAAACAAAATACTCCAGTATTGCTTCTTGTTAACTGTGTTTTTTCCTCATAGGTAGATCGTGATGAATTCAATATTTCCTTTGTCAAGTCAAATGAAGAAAAGAAAACCATGGAAATTAAAGACTTAAAAATATTTACCAGATATTCTGTGGTGATCACTGCATTTACTGGAAATATAAGTGCTGCATATGTAGAAGGGAAGTCAAGCCCTGAAGTCATTGTGACTACTTTAGAATCAGGTAGGAGTGTCCTTCCTCGTTGGTTGAGAAAGCTGTCTGTCTTACAGTTCCTCACTCTACATTAAACAGAATATAAGTTATGAGAAGTTTTTGAAGAATGTAAATAAAAATAATAATAATTCATTGCTACTGTGATCATCAAAATTAAAGCTATTTATTTTTGAGGCAAAGTGAAAATGTAGAATATTCAATCCTTATAAATATGGAACATAAAGGTACCCAATTGTACTTTTCTATGCTTATGAAATCTGCTAAGTGTTTCAGAAATTGAGTTACCTTGCGTAAGAGAGGATTTTTCTAAGCTTCTATAGCCAATAATGAATGATATATCTAAAACTATATTTTAATTATTTCTACCCTATGATAGGAATGAAAATTAAAGTAATGATCTGGAATTCAATATTAGGATCCAGATCACATTTATCATAGATGTTTTCTTCACTTCATCAGGTGATATAATTTATTATGTAACTATCCAAGAAATGTCAGAATCTATACAGAGTTTCTCAAGGTCCTATGAACAGGGTCTGAATGAATAAGATTATAACAAGTAGGAATTTAATGTGGAAAATCAGCCTCCCAGATCTTGCTTGCCCCATCCTCCTTCAGAATCCTGATGTTCTTTGCCACCAGATATGTCACTGGAAAAAGCAGATGAAGGGATGTATTGTTAGAGTTTATTTGTTGCTATCTGTAAGGTAAATATAAGTGGTAAAAATATTTTTAGAAAGTCTTTTAATTATGTTCTCTATTCATTTTGCCTATAAAGTTATGAATCTAAGTTACAAGATAAATTTTATCTTTAGCACCCTAAAATTACATTTGTTTGTATTTTCCTGCCAAATATGACAGGTATCTAGTTTCTATTGTGATTTTTGCATTTCTCCTTCATCTTCTTCTCTGTGAGGAAAGAACTGATGAACGTATTCACATTTATAACACAAAGCACTCATTCTCAAATCCTAATGTTCTATGTTTCCCGTAGATATAATGATTTAACATATTTTTTACTAAATCTCTAAGAAAATAATCTTATTTTTGTTGGTTCACTTTAGTTATACATAACATTATGATGTATTTTGATATAAAATCATGGGATATAATTTGTTCTAATTCAGTCCCCAGTACTTCCTTTTCTCCTTCCTCCTGTTCCCCATCCTCTGTTCAATTGATCTTTCTGCTATTCATTCATAGTTTTTTTTTTATTAGTGTCTTGTGGATATTACAGCATTAATGGGGGCAATGACCAGTGTCTCATTGGGGGATTCCTCTTCCTGCTCAGGAGAATGTAAGCCATGCTAAAACTTTAAGTCTCAAATAATTAATGAATAACAAAACACAATTATTCAGAAATATATTTACAAAAGCGAAGCCCCTGACAGATCTAGTTCACATGGGCTCTGGAACTAGAAAAAGAAAAGATGGTTCCAGTGGTTTATTTAAGGGGTACATCAAAGGCAGGGATAAGGTTTCAAGGGCAGAATCTTGCTTCCTGATGTCTACTATTCAGCAGGTTGATTGGCATCTTCTCAGGTCACACCCATCTCAGATACTGTGTGGGACCTTTGGCAGAGCTTGAGGGGGAAGTTCACCTGCATCAAGCAGTCAGTCCCTGTGGGGGTGCCTCAGGACATTCCCAATGCCAGACTTATCCCCTTACTAGGTTACTATAAGCAACATAGTCCACACACAACACACGGATGACTTGTGACACAGGATGGTGAAATTCAATGTGGTATATTCATATATGTACCTAGGAAAAATAGGTCAGATTCATTCCACTGTCTTTCCTTATCCCATCCCTTCTCCCTCTCCTTTATCCCCCGTTGTCTACTCCACTGATCTTTCTTGTATTTTTTTTTATCCCCACCTCTCATTTCTGTATTAGCATCCATATATAAGAAAAAACAAATAGAAATTTAGATTTAAAGCTAAGAATATTTAGGGAATAGGAAGTTATTTCCAGCATTGAGAGAATCTCTTTTCTTATCCAGCTTTAAACTTGATCCTAAATTCAGAGAAATACTTCTTATAAACTAAAAATACATGTCTGAGATATAAAACATATTAAAGCAAATTTAAAACTATTTCTCTTGAATAAACCTTTTATTTTAGATATGCATTTGTTTAAAGTATTCAGTAAAATCACATGTTTATTTGCTTCTCTTTTTTTCATACTCTTACTTATTTACTTTTGTTTTTGCTTGATAAAGGACACTATCTATTAAAGATATTTGTAAGAAAATAATGTTTGATGTGGCTGGGGATATAGCTCACGTGGTAGAGTATTTGCCTCCCATAAACAAGGCCCTGGTTTCAATCCCCAGCACCACACACACACACACACACACACACACACATACACACATACACACACAAATATAATAATAATACTAATGTTTGAGCCTCAAACTCTTGAAAACCAAATACTAACTTTTTTTCATGTAAATTCTTGAGTTAATATGGAAGAATATATCCATTTGGAGATGATCAAAATAAATATACTCATTCAATTTGTTAATCATTTTTATAAAGAGCACTATGTAGTGCATCAAGTGTAGTTTTTATATTTATAAAATAATTTTTTCTTCATGCATATCATTTTCATAATTTATTTTGTTTATTTAGTTTTTTTTTTTAAATGTGGTACTTAAGATCGAACCCAGTGACTCATGTATGCTAGGCAAGCACTCCACCACTGAGCCACAACCCCAACACCTGATAAGCTACTTTTTATTTATCTAAAATAACCTGAACTATTTAAGATATATAAAGAATTCTTAAAATTCAGCACTTGAAAAATTCACTTAGAAAATAAGCAAAAGACATGAACAAATATTTTACCACCCTGTAGATATGGTGGACAAATAAACATATAAAATATATTTTCAATGCTATTAACCATTAGATAAATCCAAATTAAAGCCATGATGAGATATAAAAGGTCTCATAATTTTATTAAAAATATAACAATAATATTTAAAATAGTGATAATATTAAGTTCTGGCAAAGATGCAGAGACTGAACATCTGATACATTGCTAGTAGAAATGTGAAATGATATAGCTACATGGGAAAGTAGTTTTCCAGTATCTTATATAGAACTACAAATGCATTTCCTATGTGACCCTGAAACCACACTCTTGAACATTGACCACAGAGAGTCAATAACTTATGTTCACTCAAACATCTATACATGAATGTTAATACCTTTTTTTAGTAATAAAAAAATTAGAAACAACCCAAATGTCCTTCCATGACTAAACAATCTCTGGTACATCCATGAAATGGAACACTACTCAAGAATATAAGAGTATGACCTGTTGACACATTTAGCAGACCCATGGGCCTCAAGATCATTATGTCATTGTTGTCTCAAAATGACAAAGCAATAGAGATGGAGAAAGATTGTGTTTTGGAGAGGAATGTAGTGTAAGTACAAGGGGATAATAGGAGCAGGTTTCTTAAAGGTAATAGGATAGTTTCATATCTTGTTTGAGATGGCAATTAAAGAATCCATACATTGGATAAATTTGTATAGAATTATACACACATGCACAAAAGCATGAAACAATGGTGAAACCAGAATAAGATCTGTCATCTAGGACTGGGGATGTAGCTCAGAGGTATAGCACTTGCATATCATGTGTGAGGCCCTGAATTCAGTCCTCAGCACTGAAGAAAAAAAAAAAAGAAAAAATGTGATCTGTAATCCAGTGAACAACATTATATCAACATCGGTTTCCTGTTTGATGTTAAACTGCAGTCACGGAAGATGTTACCACTAGGGAAAGCTAGGGGAAGGTTACATGGGACTATATATTATTATTAAAATTAAAAAATAATATTGGTCTCTAGCACTGCCATAAATAAATAGTTTTAAAGTCATAGAAACACATTCTGCATAAAAATAAAAATAAATGCATTTGAAAGGCAAAATAAATAAGCAAACAACTTGGATCATCATTATAGTTTCTATGAACTGCAACTGTCAATGATTTGATGATACATTTTGCTGTTTTCTATAAATTATGGTTTAAATAATTCATATAATACTCTTTAAAAACAGAAATTTGAAGCAATAAATTTCATAAGGATATCAAAAAGAACAAATTAAAATTTTTTAAATTGTATATATTTCATTTTAGCACCCAAGGATCCACCCAACAACATGACATTTCAGAAGATACCAGATGAAGTTACAAAATTTCAGTTAACATTCCTTCCTCCTTCTCAACCTAATGGAAATATCCAAGTATACCAAGCTTTGGTTTACCGAGAAGACGATCCCACAGCTGTTCAGATTCATAACCTCAGTATCATCCAGAAAACAGACACATCTGTCATTGCAATGTTAGAAGGACTAAAAGGTGGACATACATACAATATCAGTGTAAGCATCTATAACTTTTAGTTGTTTACCTAAATGCAAAGTCAGCATTCAAAAATACTGTTTGTGTATGTTTTGCATTTCCCACATCTTTTTGTGAGTAAAGTAGATGTAGAGGAATAACATTGCTTATTTTCTATTATAACACAGCTCGTGCTTCTTCTTATTATTATTTTTTGAACCCAGGGCCTTGTGCATGCGAGGCAAGCACTCTACCAACTGAGCTATATCCCAGCCCCCAGCATGTGCTATTAAAATATGTAGATAAATGAGAAGTTTGCACAATATTAGTAAACATTTAGAAATAAAGGAGAAAGAAAATACATATTGAAGGTAGAAAAGTAGTAAAATATAAATAAAAAATTCTGCCCCCAAAGAAAACCATTTATGTGTGATTATAAATGAAAATGTAAAAGCAAATTTCAAAAGCAGAGAACAGAAATAACTGTTTATGTGTAGCATAAATGTATATGTGAGTTCATATACGTGTACACAGGCATGTACACACACAATTTGTTTCATCCTTTCTCTTTTTGTATCATGCCTCAGAATTTCAAATAGAGTTATTTGGTTCAGCAAAAAATCATCTTTTAAAAACATAGAATTCACAGTAAACCTATAAATACCATAGAAACTAATCCTCCTATCAGTTCTTTGTAAATTTGTTTATGAGAACATTTTAATAATTTGTCTGTATATAAAATGAATATACATCCTAATATTTATTCATTCTCTTGCCTTAATTTTATATCTTCATATAATCCGTCTTGTTAAATTATTGTTACACATGCCATGAAGTGGACCATATTGTAAAAGATCCACTAGGGGAAGGATGGTGATTAAGAGAACAAACTGACCTGGATTCAAAGCTGTATTCTGTATCTTGGCAACTTTATGACATCTATGTCTCAGTTTTCCTATGTAAAAGCTGGGTAATAGGAATAATGAACAACTTCCTAGGATTTTTGTGCAGATTAAATATTTATATTTGTTGTTGGTAATTATTGTTATAACTGTTTTGGCTATTGGGAATAAGAAAGAAAACAGAAATTAAAACAAAGTATAATCAATTTATGATTAAAGAATATATTTAAAATCCTGTAACTGTTTGCAAACACTGTTTTTGCATTATTTGCAAAGTACAATATAAAGCATTTTTAACACCTTGCCTTTTGTTAGAAATGTGTAAAGATGGTACCTGTACTGACCTACTGAAGCAAAATCTAAATATTTGCATTTAGCAAGGTTTACAGATGATTTCTTTGCACACTGCTATTTGAGAAGCACTGTCCAACTCTTTCACTTATTATCTCACTTATATATTATTTCATACTATAAAGAAATAAAAACAGGACTGGGGCTGTTTTTATTTCTTTAAACAAAAGAAGTAAGTGGCTCAGCAGTAGCGCACTTACCTGGCATGTGTGAGGCACTGGGTTCGATTCTCAGCACCACATATAAATAAATAAAATAAAGGTCTATCAACAACCAAAAAGAAAGAAAGAAAGAAAAAGAAGTAAAAACAATGAACCATGCCATCACTTTTAATTTTAAATACTTCCTTTTTTAGATTTACAGACACCAGCAAATATTTCTTTATTCATTTTAAGTCCATATCTCATGGACTTGGTTTATTTACAACACTATCATATCATATAAATATATATATATATATAATCCAATGAAAATATTTTCAAAATATTGATAGAATGAAAAGATGGGCCACTAATGTATAAAATTTATTAATTCCAATAGATACATTATATACTGAATTATGTTTACCAAGAACAATGAAGTTGGCCAAGAACAGTTTTTTTTTTTTAATTTTATAGCAAGATTAAAGTGAATGGAGGAAGATTCCAGTTCCACAGCTCCCTAAGCACAGAGTTAATTGAAAGCCTTCACATTTGTGTAAATCACTCTCTGAATATACAAACAGAAATGCTTTATGTGTATATGCTGCATTACACAGGTTATAGCATCAGATACTTCAGGGCAGGGGTGAAGAAGGGCATAAAGGCCAACTTTCAGAGGGATGATTTAATACAGGAAAACGGGAGGTTGAAGGAATAGGATTTCATCTCAGAAGCAAAAAAAGGGGATCTTGAATGTGGACTTAAAGGAGGCCAGAGTTACCTAGCTACTGAGAGCAGGAGCAGATGTTAAAGTAGATGGAGAGAGTGTAGATGGAGTGGCTTTTCCGCTGCTCCTCCTCCGAGTTCAAATGGAAGCCACAGTCCTTCCTGGTCTCTGTGAATGAGCTGTTAAGATCTCTGCCTTTGTTCTCAGGGCTTAGTACCAGCATATCAGTTTTTAAGAAATACTTTCTTATTCCAGTTCTTCTTATATATATTATATTCATTTGAGTGGCTACAAGAAATATAATAGGCTACATGCAATTGTTTTTAAAAGAGGAATCATTTTAAAATTATATATCTGTTATACATACACATAAGAAAGAACTTGATAATAGTAACAAAATGTTTCTTTGTTTTAGGTTTATGCAATCAATAGTGCTGGTGCAGGGCCTAAAGTTCAGATGAGGATAACCATGGATATCAAAGGTACTACGTAGAGCTGCCTTCATATAAAATGCTGTTTTCTTTATCAAAGAGTGATTATAAATTGAATTCCACGTAAGAATTAAAGATAAGCCAAGCATTTAAAGGATACATATGTATATAACAAGCATGTATTAAGTAATGACATTTATTATTAATATAATATTAATATTAAGTAATGATATTTACAAATAACTATTACTTAACACATGCTTATTTAAAGGTAGAATTTAATTGTCTGAATAGTAGAATTTAATTAATAGAATTTAATTGTCTGATATTAATTACTATGTTAAAAAGAATGCCCTCCTTTTATCTTCTACTTCTTTTGCTATAAATTTAAAACTTTCAAAAACAAATTTTATAGCCTGAATTTTCTTTTTATCAAGAATTTAACTTGTTCAAATTGTCTCTGTCTAGACTTTGACTAGTTCTATTTAGTCTTGACTGATTTATCATATTTTTTTTCAGTTAATCAGATGTTTTTATTGTGTACCAATCAACTTAATGATGTTGGCTACAAAGTATATAAATTGATCCATTTATCCTGGTGACTATTTTTTATAGAAGATATAACTAAAGTTTTTCCTCCCCAAAATGACCCACAAAACCCAAGAAAGGTTGCTTAGAGGAATTTAGGGCCATTCAGTCAGTCAGACTGAAATCAAGCAATTGATTATGCCATCTCTCTAAAAAGTTGCAACAAAAAATACAGAGAAATTAAAAACAACAAGGAAGGAATTCAAGTGTTTGGACCCTAAAGAGAATTCCAACCAAGACTTTTCTTTCTAAAACAAAAAGTAACTTTTCTCAGTCTTTGAGAAAAGTAGAGAACAGTGATTAAAAGCGCCAGCATTTGCCTGGGTTTGGGGTTAGCCTCCTGAGAATGAATACTGAATTGGCCACTTGGTATCTATTTGACTTTGGGAAAGTTTTTTAATCTCTTTAAGCCTGTGAAATGGAGCTTTCCATTTCCTACCTCACAGATAGTTGTGAGGGTTAAGAGAGATTCTCTTTGAAAAAGCCTTAAGAGGATACCTGGAAACTTGTACTATTAAGAATAAGAAATATTCACTGTTAGAGGAATCCTTAAATTTTATCTTTTAATCAATGAATAATATATCTAAAATACCATTTATAAGTATTAATTGATTTTAATTGATAAATTCTGTACTTTGGAATATAGAAATACATTATGTCTTAAAAACCATTAGTTGTTTCACAAAATGACTTCACAGATAAGAGAATGAGTCATGCCATCTTAATTTCTGTCTATTATTTAGTGGCAGATAGATGTGCAAGCATACAGATAGCAGTAGACTCATTATTTTTAGGTTTTAACAAAACTTCCCATGTCAAGGTGATTCTGATTTTCACTCCTTACCTAAGGCAGGGAGACTTACTACTAGTCTAGAAAATTTATAATAGTATAGTGGGAGTGTTAGAGTCTTAAAGAAATAATTTTCTCTAGTAATATGCATGATTTTATTGGTAACATGGAATAATGAATTAGTAGTCTCGTTAAAGTAGTTGTAATGCCCCAAACTAGATTTCTCTAACTGCAATTTTGCTTGGGATCTCTCCAGCAGCCAGCTGAGGGTTTGAAATTCCCTGAAACCCCAGCTTCTTTACTAAATTCATCCTTCTTTTCCCCTTTTTACAGTTGTCATACCCATGATCTGTGGTCTGAAATCTTTTGCTACATACTCCTGCTCTCTGATCCTTTATTCTTCACACATATTTCCCCCAATACACCTCTTACACATCCAATCTCACTTTAACTTTTATATGTCAGAATACCATACTATTGCATCAGGTGAGGATTTTGCAGGCTGAAGCTATTACTCAGTGGTAGATTGCTTGCCTTGTGTGCATGAAGCCTGGGTTTGATCCCAGACACTACAAAACAAACAAGAAATATCATTTGAACTTGGCATTCAAAAGAGTAAACAAGAGAATCAAGTAAAAACAAGAGATTTGATTAAAATCTTGATACTTAATCTTTGTTAGGTCTGTGACATAAGCCTATAAAATAGAAACAGTGTTACTCATTTTATGCCATTCTTGAGAGGCTTTTTAAAAAGACTTCAAAAATATGAAAATTGAAGTTTGGTTAAGTAACTTAACTGATGCTCAAATAGCACATATGTGTATGGGCATACATGTGCACACATACATATACATGTCTGTGTGTGTGTATATATATGTATATGTATATATATATGTATATATATATATATATCTGTAAGATTAAATCAAACAAACAGAGCTCTTAGAAATATTGATTTGGGATATATTTGTATGAATTAATAGTAAAATGTGAATTTTTGTGGAAATTATTCTGGAGCTGGGTGCGGCGGTACACACTTCTAATTCTAGCGACTCACGAGGCTGAGGCAGGAGGATCACAAGTTCAAAGCCAGCCTCAGCAAAAGCAAGGCACTAAGCAACTCAGTGAGATCCTGTCTCTAAATAAAATACAAAATAGGGCTGGGGATGTGGCTCAGTGGTCAAGTGCACCTGAGTTCAATACCCGGTACCCCCTCAAAATTTTTTTTTCTGGAAAGATCTGTTAAAGTTATAAATCTATGTGTTATTTGCCAGAAATTCTACACTTGAGAACTTATTCTATGGAAATAAAAGCATAAATAAATAAAGCTAACTGCAAGGCTTAAATATTACCACAAGCATTCAAAACTGGAGGAAAAGCGAATTCCCATTACTAAATGGGTGGTTGAGTCAGTGTGATGCAGCTGTACCATGTACAGTAGTCATTAAGAAGAATAAGTTAGGGGCTGAGGTTGTGGCTCAGTGGCAGAGCACTTGCCTCGCACATGTGAGGCACTAGTTTCGATCCTCAGCACCACATGAAAATAAATAAACAAAATAAAGATTAAAAAAAAGAATGAGTTAACATAGTACCTGGGGATTCAGAAAGATACAAGTCATGGTGAAGTGGGTAAAGCAATATGTGGGGTAATCATACTGCATGATATAACCTTATTTGGAAAAGCAAACAGTGAGAAAAGGCCATACTGTGGACAGTTTATGTTTCTATATAATTATATAAATGTGAAGACAAATATAGAAGGCTGTCAGCCAGGTGTTTGCTATGGATTAACTGTAAGAGGGATGTTACTGTGACTAGAAGAGAAATCAATGAACCAGCTGAAGGAAGTAAAAGAAAAGAAAAACTTACACTAAAATGTTATTTATATGTAAACATTTTTATGCATTTATGAAATTTACATATGGGTGAGAGCATAAATAAATTAAAATTTTTTAACATATGAAGAGGAGTCAGATGCCTGAAAAATCACACCTGGCCCCATTATTTCAGGCAAGTCTCAAATACATAATTATACCACCAAAAGATGATAATTGCTAAATATCTGCTGTTTCCAAACACAACTGTTTCATTTGTTATTCATATTTTCCATCACTTTATCTGTAAATTACCAGCATGAAATGAGAATTTAACTTTTTTCCCTGTTTAGAAACAAAAGAATCATTTATGGTGATGTTTATTTATTTATTTTTTTTATTTAAAGCTCCAGCAAGACCAAAAACCAAGCCAACCCCTATTTATGATGCCACAGGAAAACTGCTTGTGACTTCAACAACAATTACAATCAGAATGCCAATATGTTATTACAATGATGATCACGGACCAATCAAAAGTGTACAAGTGCTTGTGGCAGAAACAGGAGGTATCCTCAGATGTCAATATCTCTTGTCAAATTGTACAGTGTGCATTCCTGAATGCTAAAGAAATTTCAGTATCACACAACTCAAGTTGAATAAATTATTAATAATATCACTCATTATACTACCCATTTATTAATGCATAATATATTTTACCAAAATGAGAACAGGAATTTTAAAATGTGTATTTTAGGTCTGGGGATGTAGCTCAGTTGGTAGAGTGCTTGCCTTGCATGCACAAGGACCTCGGTTCAATCCCCAACATCATACACACAAAAAAGAATGTGTATGATTTACTTAATCCACACACTGGTAGAATTGTTTTGATTTTGGCAAAGTGGAATCATGATAGCTTCTGAAGTGTGTAGAAGAGGGTGATTCTTGACTGAAGGACATTCTTTCTATATGTGAGAAATCATTGTTCATAATGATGCTTTAGATTTGTGTGAGGGAGCAGGACAGGATTACCTGTCTATCAAGGCAGATCAGCTATGTCATCCCTAGTTGTTCACAGAGCAAATGATGTTGCATCTAGATTCCCCTAGTGTAATTATGAAAGCACTCTTTATAAATGTGAAAATGCATTCATATGTTACTTGTAATCATTATTCTCTTTTTTTCCTGAAAATAGCTCAGCATGATGGAAATGTAACAAAGTGGTATGATGCATATTTTAATAAAGCAAGGACATATTTTACAAATGAAGGCTTCCCTAACCCTCCATGTATAGAAGGAAAGACAAAGTTCAGTGGCAATGAAGAAATCTATGTCATAGGTGCTGATAATGCATGTATGATTCCTGGCAATGAAGACAAAATTTGCAATGGACCTCTGAAACCAAAAAAGCAGTATTTGTAAGTACAGTTTCTGTCAAGTACATGTTGTCAGCAAGTCTGTAGGAATCTTTCATCCATCCATCTCCTCATCTTTCATCTTTCCAGTAAGCATTGGACATCCAGTGTGTGGAGTGGATCTGATCTTCTAGGCATTGGAAATTGAAAGATTAACAAGGCATTATCTTTTCATTCTGTAAATATATAGTATTATATGGGAGTCATGAAAATCTGAAAGAAATTAGGCTTTGATGTGATAAGTTACATAAAAGTAATATGAAAATGTGGTATTGGAGAGCATAAATAGGTAGAGGAATTTAATTTGTTTGGTGGAGGACAATGTGACTAATGTGTCTTTCATTCATCTTACTGTGCATGCTTATGTACAGGTTTTCAGAAACACTATCATACTCTCAACTAACAATGGTTTCCTTGTATGCCACTCCTAGCAATAACTCTGCTTTTATCATACCAAACATCTGAATGAGTGATAGAAATCTTTATTACTTTATTATTTTGGAATCTTGTAGCCATTAGTAACTTAATATATTAAAAATCAGTGCTGACATTTTGGCTTTATTAAGTTCTTTGTTAAATTTATTGATTGATTTATTCTATTGAATCGATTATTATAAGACTGTAATTTTTTATACTTATTTTTTAGTTGTAGTTGGACACAATACCTTTATTTTATTTATTTATTTTTATATGGTGCTGAGTACTGAACCCAGTGCCTTGCACATGCTAGGCAAGCAATCTACTGCTGAGATACAATCCCAGCCCCATAGGACTATAACTTTTAAAAGCAGCAACTTCACCTTATTTGATTTTCAAAATATAGTTTTTTTATGAATTATTTTTTAAAAACCAAGTTCTTTCAGTTTTTCCTACTAGTTAAAGCATAATTAAAATTTTTTCTTTCTTTTTTTTAAGTACTGGGGATTGAACCCAGAGTCTTATGCATGTACAGCAAATGTTCTACCTCTGAGCTACATCCTCAGACCTATGTATTTTGAGACAATGTCTCAATAAGTTGCCAACGCTGGCCTACAACTTGTGATCCTCCTGCTTCAGGCTTCATAGTAGCTGGGATTACAGTTGTACCATCATACCTGGATAATAAATTCCTTATGAATGTCTTAGGCCAAGTTAACTTTAGAAAAGTGAGAGAAATTAAGCAACTAAAAAAGTAATGTTTTGACATTTAGTATGAAATTGTAATTACTTTTGTTTAAATTCTAGGTTTTTGCTTGAATTTTACCCATCAAGCATGTGATAGCCTTAAAAATAATGTACCACAAAATTTCATATTTATTCTTATTTATTATTTTGTATATTTGTTTCCCAAACACACTCTTCATATAACAAATAAAATCATAAGAATTTGATAATGGTAGGGAGTAAATCATTATTTCAATTTGTTGGTTTTATATTTTAAATACCATGTGTCTTGCGTTTTTAAATGAGGCAAATTTCAATTGTCTGTGACATCATAAAATCACCCTGTAATTTTTAGGCTTCCTTTTCTTCTGTACCTTTTTCTATTTTAAATATTGTAAAAGCAAAACAAAAAAAAAAGTGGGCAAATACAACTGTGCATACACAGAAATAAGAAGCACTTTTCTTATTTACATGTGAAAAAGCCATGTTTTGTATTATCATTAAAAGTAACATTATCCTATAACCAGATTCAATAGTACTTTCAAAGATGGTTGAGGTATGTAAGTTATTATGTCTTATATTTATTAAGTATCCTAGTGGAACACATTTTCATATATATTAAATCATTCCATCCAAATGAATCTATGAGGAAGGTGATTTGCTTAAACTTCTGACTTTCCATGAGTTTGACCAAATTTTTAGTCACAAACTCAACAGGCCCAAGTGCAGGATAATTATTCATCTCATATAGATTCAGTATAATTTGTCCTGAAGGTAATTAAATTCTAAGATTACATGTTGCAAATTCATTTTCTCTTGAATAAAATATTCAGTTTTCATAATTGTTTGCTAAATTGTTCATTCATGTGATGTGCAAATTGTTTGTTTTTAATCTTATTTTTTACTTCATAGATTTAAATTTAGAGCCACAAATGTCATGGGACAATTTACTGACTCTGATTACTCTGACCCTGTTAAGACTTTAGGTAAGACAAATTTTGTAGTTTAATTTATAATCTCAGCATGTTTATTATAGTTGAAACATTTGTTAAATATTTAGTAAATTTATTAATTTGTGGCTGGATATTCATGTGCAAACTTATTTCAAGATTAGTTGTATGGAAAAATAGTGTTTCTAATGTTCTTTGAAAAGACAGATATTCTGTCCATTTAGATCTGGGTTTAGATTTTGTAGGGTATTGGTTCTATGCTGACATCTGCTAACATTACCTAAATAAATAGTTATTTGGTTTCTTAAATATACAATCTGATGTGTCAAATATTGTTGTCTAATAAAAGAGTAATAAGCTTATAGAAATTTTGCTTGAGTAATTCCAAACCACTTGAAGATTATAAGTCCCTTAATATAGTTATTTTCTTTTATTCAACTCTTTCATGAGTTTCTTCAATTACACTCATCTAAATAAGACCTAAATCAAATACTCACACACTTTAGTCAAGTGCACATGTATATCATCATCCTCATTGTCATCAAAGTTACCATCCCATAATCATTTCTAACATTAAGTATTCTGTACCAGACACACTTCTAGATTCTTCTCTCGTATTAACTGATGAACCCTTCCCTACAAGTTGGTTCGGTGTTTCTCAGCCAGCATGATTTACGCCATAGGGGATATTTGACAGTGTCTGGAACCATCTGTGTTTGCCAAAACAGTGCTGTTGTCAATGGTGATGGCATCTAGTGGGCAGAGTGCTGCTGAATTTCCACAATGCACAGGACAGCCTATAACATCAATTGTGTTGGAAATGGAAAACGTAGGTATTAATGTTTGCTCCGTTTTACAGATGAAGAAACCAACATTAGATTATTTTTATAATTAATTGTCTGGACATGGATTCCAGCATGCCAACACAGGATTCCATACCACAATTCTTCAGATAAAAGATTTGAGGACTGGATTCAAATGTTTGGCTCTGTCACTTAAAACAGATAATTTAATTTTTATAATCTCAGTTTCCATTTGAAAAATGGTAATGGGAGTATCTTCTTTGAAGGGTTATTGAAAGTTTAAAATGAAATAATATATGTAAAGATGTTAATATTTTATATTTAGTGAATTTTTAAATGCTTCATAGCTTCTTTTGGATAGTATATAATTAAAGATTATGTAAATATCTTTATTTAGGAGAAATTATTTCCCTAGGACTTCACTGAGAGGTCAGAGGGATTCCTATTTCTTTTGCACGCTCCCTCAAACCTCCCAAGTTAGCCATCTATAATACCATAAGGGACTCAAGAATAGTGTGTCTCTGGGCTATCTGAAAATGTGTAGACTTTGTGATGCTCAGATCCTAGTGAGCTGTTGCTTGATAGATTATGAGCTAGGGGTAGATTTCAGTGAGAGTCATAACTGCAGAAAGATAGATTGTTCTACCATTTTTAGGCAGAAATTCTCATCAGAGTGTGGAAATAGTAATTGTATAAAGAGCCACCTTCTGCAGGCCCTGTATAGAGAAACTTCATCTTGAAGAAATAAAATATTGGGGGCACATGGATTGCTAACAAGTGTTTATAGAGGAATAAAACAAATATCTTTGGCTAAGCTGTTTAATTCTATAAAACCACTGGCCTGATTAATTTCACCCAATATTTTAATCTTTTTCAAGATAGCCAACTTGATTTGTGATTTTGAAATTGTATCAAGCAGTTCTTAATTTGGTAGGTGAATCTATTACACTCTAATACCACCTTGACAAAGTGAATGTCTTGTGGTCATCTGTATAATTTGCTATAGCTTACAGCATTCAGAAGCCATCACTGCAGCTAAATGGTGATCCTGGTGCATTTACTGGTAAATGATAAAAGACAATATGGATAACTCATTTGTCTTGGATGATATTTTATAGGAGCAAGGCTGAACAGAACTAGGCTTGCTGTGCTGGGTATTATGTGATTTGTCTCTCATCAGCTTTCTGACTTCATACAGATGATAGATAGGACGACATGTTCATTCACTTATTGGAGGCATCCAGAGTAATAGAAATAAGAAAGAATGGGGAGAGCCAGGCATTAGGAACCCTGATGTTCAGGGACATGATTCCTTAGACTCTGTTAATTGGCTTCCCTTTGGCCAAGGATGGGCTTCATCCAGCACTCTAGTATCCTGCTGCTTCTCAGCGATGGCCTTGTATTTCTGCCCTCCATTCACAGTCAAAGTATTGGAATACAACAACCAATTATGGAAAGTAACAAAATTACACAGTTTGTTATCTGGTTCCTTCACTGGAATCATAACCACCACCACCCCAGGGGCCCAGATACAAATGTTTGTGTGTTCTGGTAACAGCAGGAATCCAGAGCATGTGAGATATGTGACGTGAAGGACAAAGCATAGGATCCTGAGAAGGGTAGGGATGGAGGGACTGTTGAATTATAGACTGAACACAGTAGATATAAAGTCTTTGGGCTGGTAAGACTTACTGACAAGAAAAGGTCCCATGTATCTATTATCAAATTTGTCATACTTTAGTATATTACTTGTTAACAGTGACATAAGGATGGCCTTTTAGACTCCCCTTTAGAGTGGTCTTCCAAGGAGTCTCTCCTGATAAATAGTGGCTTTGTAATTGGTTTTTGTTGTGTAATATATATTTAGCTAGTAAAACAGTGACAGATGGGAAAGGAGGACTTTAATAGAAGGCCATAGAGTCAAAACAGTTCTTGGAAAAAAAAAAACATTGTCAAAAAAGAGTAGAAAGACTCGAACAGGAAATAAAAGTGACAATTTCTATAATGAGCAAAAGTCTATGGCAAGAACGATTTTATGGCTATGAGGATGGGGACAAGCACAGAGTGAAGTAATTGGTATAATACCCCTTGTGTCATCAGAAAATGACAAAGTACGGTTGCATCCTTTTTCTCCCATATATGTCGTGTGTTAGGATAGATGATATCATCCACAGCAGGCTAGTGGTGTCAGCATTCCTGGCAAGTAAAGACTTAAGTGTGCATGTAATCCTAGACTTCAGTGAAAGAAGTCCAGGGCCCATCTAGGTCATCCAACCACCCGTGGATAAGCATTCACTCATTGGTATTTTGCACACCACAGGCAATGAACTCGGGCTGAGTTGCTCGCATATCAATTAAAACTTTCAAGATATAAAAGCCTTCTGGCAAGGCTACATTTCTACAGGTCATTTTGGTGGTAGTTTTCCCTTTCAGAAATGTTATATGGAATTAAAAATAGAGGCAGAAAAATCACTATAGACTGACTAACTAAAAAACGTTTAAGTTTAGTAAAAGGAACTAAAGTACAAAGTGAAATGGGGCCACAGTGAAGAAGCATCTGCATTTAGGGAAATTTTTATGTACCATAGGCATAAACAAGGGAAATGACATAGACATTACTTTAATCCTTAAAAAACATACTTGTAATGTACATATTTTGTTTTCATTCAAGACTGAGCATTAGCATTTTTTTATTAACATAATTCACAAGATATTCAAACTCTTTTTTTTTTTAAATCCTTCTTGGGCACACCAGTTTATGGAAACAGCTTGTAAGCAATGTTTTGATTACAAGGTTTAATTATAGTGGATTCCTGTGATTTGAATACCAGTCACCCCTTTCTGCACCTTACAGGGCTCTCATTAAAGCTGCACTAGATGAAACCTTAAACCCCATGGCAAAGGCACTCCGTGATTGTTTTCTTTTGTCATAACACTTCTCATTTAATTACTGTGCTAACAATGAAAAGTCCCAATATACTCACTCAGATGTAGAACTAGGGAGTTATGTGTCATTTGCAGCAAAAGGATCACTTCTTCTAAGGCACCAGAGGAGCAAAGGAGAGTTTTATTTTGTTAACAAAGCAGTGATGTGGCGCTAGACCTCACAAACTCTGCAATCAGACAGGCATTATTAGTCAGGCAATTTTAGTATGTATGCAGCATTTGTGACCTCAGGTTGGTTACATAGCAAATTAACTTCTGAAATCTTAATTCAGAAAGAGTACCGTAATATATATCTCATAAGCTAATTAGGAGATTAATTCAGATGAGGCAATGGATGTATCAATATGAAATGTTCATTAATAAAGATAGCTGACATCGTTTGTTCATGTTCCAAGCTTTTAAGGGATTTTACATGTAAACTTGTATATTCTTCACTCTAACTCTGTAACATGACCTCTTATTTATGATAGTTCCAATACATAGGCAAGAAATCTGAAGAATCACATCCTTAAGCAGTTTATCCAAGGATTTTAGCCACAAATAAAAAAAGAAAGAAAGAAAGAGAGAGAGAGAGAGAAAGAAAAGAAAAAAAAAGTGTTGTCAGGCCTGGCTTTCAGATCAAAACAACACAACTCCAGTGAGTCCTATGTTTACAACTACTGTACCATACTGGCTGAAAATCACTATGTGCCCAAGTAACTTGCATTTTCACTACTAGTGGTGATGTCTCTGCTCTCACAGGCTCCCTATCCTTGCTGTACCACTTTGTCTTCTCAATATTTTTAATTATTTTTAGTTGCTGTCTTTTTCACTTCCTTGTCTTGACTTTTTGAAGTTATCATTCACATTCACAAATGAGCAGGCTTTGTTTTTGTGCACGTAGGTAAGATAATGCCTTTTTACCATGAAGAGTGACTTTTTCCCACACCCTGGCAAAAAATGTTGATTATCCATTTTTAACATGTTGCCAATTTTAATGGATAGAAATGACATCCCTTGAAGCATTATAATTTGTATTTATTTTTTAAAACATTTATTGAGTATTATTGTGTGTATTGATGGGTTCAACATGATGCTGAGATAAATGTATACAGTGTAGATTGAGAATCTTTCTAACTAATATATCCATCACCTCAAATACTTATCATGTATTTCTCCTATCTAAATACATTTTTAAATAATGAAATCGAGTAATTCTTAGTAATTCTTTGTGCAGTGTGTGTATATCCCAAATGACTAGCACTGGATCAAAAGAACAGAGAAACTCCCTAGCTAGGTGTGGTGTCA